AGTAATTTACATTGTAACTATTTTAAAAATTATTAATAAAGATATGAGCAAGGCCTCACCTTAACACCAAAAAAAAATATATATATATATAATAGTTTAAACTTGAATAACTTTTGATTCACTGAACCAATCTTGATGATTTAACTACCAAAATAATCCTCTCAAAGAGAGAATTCGAATGAATTCAAAATCATCCAATTCTGATTACGCGATCCCGAGATAGATAGAATTTTGTATTATATTTACTATAATAAATATAATACAAAACTCTATCGATCTCTGGATCACGTGATCAGAATTGAGTGATTTTGGATTCATTCGAATCCTCTCTTTGAGAGGATCATTTTGGTAGTTAAATCATCCATATTGGTTCAGTGGATCAAAAGTTATTTAATTTTAAAATTTCATTATATATATAATAAATGATTATATATATATTATTTATAGAGTAAATATATTTGTTACATCCTGTAATACACGTATTTGTAACAGCCTAATTAGTACAACCAATAAAAGCAACTAAAAATTTGTGTAACCCAAACCCTAACTCTAGCTACTATTGGCTATTACGAGGGTATTACATGTCACAGGCTGTTATAAGAACATTTATTCTTATTTATATATATAATATATATTATATATAATATATAAGTATAATGTAAGACTTTTGGCTGACCCTCCCCCCAAAAATATTACGTAATATCTGTCACTGCTCTACCTATTTTACTGTGAAAATGAAAGTGAGCAATAATATCATTGGATATTACCTTTTTTTTCTTCTTTAGAAGGTTGTTTTTGCGATTTTCTAAACATATTCGATCTTTTTTTTTATTAGTAAAAAAAAAATCTTTAATTTTTTTTTTTTAAGAAAAAAATTTAATCAATATACTCTAGATCAGTATTGTCACATCTACTATGTCCAAGACTTTTTCTGCTCATGTTCACGTCCAAATATCCATAGTGTCCACAACTGTTCAAAGAATATTTAGACTTTAAAATTTAATAAATTAGTTTAAAAAAGATATAAATACATATTTTTTATAGTTTTGAATATTTTTGTTTAAAAGATTAAATATGTTATCTTAATAAAATTTTGAATAATTTAAATTTGTTTTTTTATTCAAAATTGTTTACAATTGTCCACAAATTATCCAAAGCTGTCCTGTACCAACGCTGCTCTAGATATGTATACAATTTTTGGCAGAGTTTTTTTGTATATATATAAAAATATTATACACATGAATCATTAACATGTATTAGTTTTGTTTACTAATATAAAAGAAAATTATATTTTTTAATTTTTTTTGTTTTTTTTTAATTGTCTTTTTTTAATCTTTTTTATCATTATTACAGTCAGATCTCGATATAATTACCAGGTTGGAAAGCAAAATTTTGGTGATTATAAAAAGTTGTGACTATATGAAGGTTAAATTTATATGTTTTATAATAGCTAGGCAAAAAAATAGTGTAATTATAACAATGTTGTGACTATATTGAGAGTGACTATAATGAGGTCTAACTGTATTCTTCTTTTTACTTTTTTTACTATGCGTAGCTAAAGTAGAATGAATAGAGTCAGACCTCAATATGGCATAGCTGATAATGACTTAAAAGTACTTGCATCTCCATCACATTCTTCATCATGTAAACCATCACAATTAAATATAGAAGTTTCGAAGCTATCTAATATTGAAAATAAAAAAGATACTATGTCTAAGGTTATTTTGCTAATAAATTTATTTTTAGAGCAATTCATAGCCGTATTTGATCCCTTGATATATCTAATACATTATTTCTTTTTTGATTACTATAAGGTAACAAAGCAGGTAAGCTCCCCTTAATTCAGAAACAGCAACAATTATTAACTTCTGAAGAGTCACAACAAACAACTCAAGAAGAACTACAACAAATATTACAATATGAAGTGCAACAATTATCTAAGAAAGAATCACAAAAATTATCCAAACAATCACATTAGTTAACCCATAGAGGATTGCAAAAATTATTTTATAGAGAACTACAACAATCTAATTTATCAACATTCTCTAAACGTTTACTTAATGATACAGGTAATACTGGGCTTTTAAATTATTTGTTGGCAGTAGGTAGATGCATTGAACGCTTAGACGTTATTACTAATTTAGCCATTTTATTGATAATTTAATTAATTATATTATTCACTAGATACTTATAGTAACACATCTAAGAGTAGGTTTTAATCATATGAAACTAAAAATTAATATTTAATCTCAAATACATCTGTGATTTGATATAGTGTTAAGGTTAACCGATGAAGACAACACCTTGTTGCAAAAGATAATAAAATATTCAATAAAAAGCGTTAAAATGGCCCTTAAAAATAAGAATGTGATTTTTCAAGTTAAAGCTTCTTTGAAGGATCTCATGAAAATTATTACCAATGATAATAGTAATGATAATGTGATGGCTGGGCAATTAAAGTCAAAAAAAACTAAAAAATGGTTTACAGTATGTAATTTTCTATCAATTCTACATAAATTTGCATAATTATAAGTACTATAATATCTATGTCTTTTATTATAGGATAATATTAGTAGTGCAATAGAAGAGTTGCTTGAAGTTAACAAAAATGCTAACGATTAAACGATACAAAATGCATATTATGCAAAATTTAAGGAAAATCATTCTGATAAAATAATACAAATTAAAGAATCAAAAAGGGGTAGAATGGTTATTGGAATGAAATTGTACAGAGCGAAGTAAGATGTCTTTTTTTTATTTTACAGTTATCTTTTGTGAATATTAATTATAATTTATTTTGTAGGCTCATCTCCAATATAGAGTTAGACATGCTAATGACATATAGAGAATAAAAAATGCAATGGTCAATATTCTTGAAAAAGTGAATATTGGTGATACTTCTGGACAAAAGGCCTCTAAAGAAAAAATTTTGGCTTGGAAAACAAGCCTGGCATTGCTTGAAGCAAAGACCAAATTATGGAAGCCAGTAGATTTGTCAAAAGATGCTGACTCTCACGATACTTATATATGTTGTGCGTCAGATTAAAACTTGCGTCAGATTGAATCTGACGCACGTCAGATGATTATCAGTTGACCAGCATTAAATGATCGGCAACAACTAGCCTAAACTAACCTCTAACTTTACTGTAATTTTACCCTAACCCTAATCTAATTTAGGCCAGGTCTAATCTGACGCAAGGATTGATCTGACGCACGACATATATACTGTATTATGATTGAAGTATGAAAAAACCACCATTCAAAAATCAATCAAGAGTTTGCAATTGCAGTAATTGAAATGATATTTGACTTAACAATCACTACTACTAGTCGTACTGGTGATGATATTGATACATATATGCAAGCCCGAACTATAAAAATTATACAAATAAATAATGAGGTAGATACAGTATATAGAAATATAAGTTTTACAAGTCCTAGACATAGTACGATTAAAATAGTACTTATACTGAAACACGTAAATAGAGGTGCTCATTACTGTAAATGTAGAATACAATTTGAGTGAGTATATTTTTTATTTAAGTTTGGGGTTTTTTATCACTAATACCAACTAACAACAACTTTTTTTGTAAAAGAAGCTTTCGATTTTTCTAATTATTTGATATATAGTGAAAGATAAGTTTTATTGATTATTTTGCCACTTGCTTTTATGCATTCTTTTTTTTCTGTTATACTAATTATTCTACTTTAGGATTCTATCAATTTTTCTCTACTATTTTCCCACTACCGATTATTCTTAGACTATTGTCAGGTATATTTTTCTTTCTTTTGCCTATTTTTAGTATAACCGTATTGCTAACAATATTTTTTCCTCTCTTTTTTTCAACAAAAACCTTACAATTTGCTATTCTACCATTCTGAAACCTGGGTATCATTGGCATATTATCCTTTTGCTTTGGTTGTATATATTGGTCTTGTATGACTATGCATATAACTATGATTACATGTATTGATCGGATATTTCAGGCATGTTTTGTCGATCATACTATGTTGAGTCACAGTCTTTTAATTATAATTCATTTTATGCGCAACAATACCAAGCACTATATTTTAATTTTATCAGAATATATTAGTAGATCTACCAAATTAGCCTGAATTTAGGGTCAGGAATTAGTCTGGCATTAAGCAATAATACCAAACAACTATATTATAGCAAAATTATCATTTAGACAGCTTTATTTAATATATGGACTGCTATTTTATTAGTTAAATTTTATCAATTCCAACCCACATTCGGGCTGATTTGCCAAATTTTGGTAGATTTATTGTACTAATTTATTCATATTACTGTGCTTAGTGATTACAAAATTCTAATACTAATGAATAATTAATAACATTTAATTAACAATTTTTTATTTTCTAATTTAGAATAAACCTTTTGATCAACAGTTAGAAGATTGTTCTAATATTAATTCAGATTCTAATACTTTCTTTGATTTTGATAACAATTATTTTTGTAGTCTATCTCCAAGCACTTCTTCTGAATATTCTGTTGTTTTAGTTTCTTCTAAGTATTAATTGCTTTGTGATAGTTAGTATATATAATTATATACGTAGTTATTTGCAATTTATTTAATTTGTAATTTGCAATTTATAATTTGTGATATATAATTTTGCAATAAGCAATTTGCAATATATATATAAATTCTGCAATATAAATTCTGCTAAAACAATAAATCTAGTTGTATATATAAATTTTATTAATGTATATTGTCATTATATATTGTTATTTTGTAATTAAATATTTGATATTTATATATCCTGTTGTATATTACATTTATATATTGCAATGTTTAATGAAGTATTCGATGTTTAATACTTTTTTAAATTAATCAATATTAAGATTAATTATCTAGTTTATTATTTTT